CGGCATCTCGTGCTTACTTCCTTGCGTACGGATGACAGCTGCGTATGAATTAATTTATTTTCTGGTGCTTTCACTTCCAGAGACAGTTGTAAGCACTGTGTAACTGCCTCGAGGGTGCTTGACCATTTTAACACAACGTGGTGCGATCATCCCCCTTGCGCGGAGTGAGGGTTCTCCACCCCGCACAACATGATCTACTCGACCACCATTATGGTTACCGCCAAAAAAAAAAAACGGAGGTAAAAAAAAAAAAACGGTAACCTGGTTGCCGAGTTCACGAAGTGAATTGGCTTGTTTTACAACGTCGTTGCCAAGCGACGAAAACCCAACCCTGATGGGGGAGGGGGTAGGAGGTAGAAAACTGATCTGCGCGCCCCTCTTTGGAGGAGTCAGTGCAATGCACGGTGTGAAATGCTCGGATGCTTCGACTAGGCACAAGAGTGCGGAATCGGTACAATATCGCCAGGAGGATGATAAATAACCTCGCCTACATTTCGAGCAGTACCTTAGGCCGCCTGGAACAAGTTTTTTTGTTATATATCACCTGGGGTACAGCAGTATTGCTGGCATCACGGAACGGAGATGTCGTAGATACCTCGAGCGCGGGTTGAACGGTGTGGCTTGTCTCTCGTTGATTGGGTGGCCCAGCTACGACAGCAGTCAGGTGGGTGGCATCTGACAAGGATCGAAAGCGTGAGCTCCCCCGACCAAATCTACTTCCCCCAACCCGCCGCCGCCGCCGCCGCCGCCGCCGTAACGACAGAAAGAGAAGGGCCGCTTGGACAAGGAGACAGCGGATAACATGGAGGAGCTCTCCAGGTTGACGAAGAACTTCTCGGGGGCGGAGATCGAGGGTCTGGTGAAGAGTGCCGCGTCGTACGCCTTCGAGCGGGAGGTCGACGTCAAGAACCTTGACCAGGCGCCCGACCCCAACAACCTCATCGTGCGGTGGAAGGTGTGCAGTTAGTGGCGGCTACTCACGAATTGCTGCTGCTGTTGCCGGTTGGGGTCGGAGCTGTCAGTTTGGATAAGAAGAAGCACACAGAGGAGTAGTCACGTGTGGGGAAAGTCACGTGGGTACAGGCGGGTAAGCACCGGCCTTGCAATATTTGCATTCGTTGGTACACACCCCATGAAGTATTCGTTCGTTTGCGACACTGGCTGTCTCGATTTTCAATTTACGCCACGAACAACGAGAGCCGGATCGGCGGGTAGATCAGGAGCAACAGCTGCTGCACACTCACGCTTGAAAAACTTTGGGGTGACAACACTGGAGAAGGCGTCCGGGTGCTTGACGACAAAGGTCCCCCCGGTAGGGCTCTAGCACCCCAGATTTTCACCGTCGCTCTTGCTGCACGCGGACACCATCTCGAACGTCTTCCTGAGGAAGATCGGCTCCTGGGCGGCTATCTCGACCCGCCGCCGCGGCTGGGCCCGCGTGGTGTACTCACCGCTGCGGCTGGGCCACGCAGTCCCCGCAAAGCTGTGGCAGCACAACCACTGCTGTGCTGCTGCACATGTTCTTATACATGACGTCCCTACAGAGGGTGGCGTGGCCCGGTATATCGGCGAGCCAGAACACAGTCTCGTTTCGTGGTAAGCCTGTGGAGCCCTCTCCCCTCCCCTCCCCCCCCCCCCNAACCCCCTCTGTCGCGCCCCTCTCCTCACACTGTTCGTTCGCCTGCGCCCACGCGCTTGGTCTCGCTTTCGCCGCTTGCTTTGGGTGGAGAGCAGGACTTTCAAAGCGCGCTCTGCGAGGTTCACCCCAAGTTCGGTGCTGACAGCCAGGAGCTGGAGACGCTGTACGCTAACGGCATCGTGCCCTACAGCCAGGAGTTCGACAAGGTTCAAGTCACGCTAGGGAGGCTCATCGAGCAGACAAGACTCAGCGAGAGAACTCCCATAATGTCGGTGAGGCTGGCGGAAAGGTTTACGGTTTTCTGAGCGCGCGCCGCGGGGAAGGTGGATTGGACGTATGGTGCGGTGCAACGTGGTGGCGAGGGTGTGTGGGTGGGAATGGAGCTGACTGAGAAAAGCGCGTTATGGAGAGATGGAAATTTTCAGCGGATGTATTCGTACTCCTATTGTGGCTTCTTTGTTGTCCTCGCACACTCCCCGGGCGTTTGTGTCCAAGCCAAGCTTTAAAGGCCTCTTTTAAAAGTTTACCTTATGAGATGCTGCATGTCGTTCTTGCAACGTTTTGCGCCCCGTGCCGCTCGTCTGCTTATGTAGTTTTCTCCGCAGGCGGCGATCAGGTGTCCTTGTTTAGAGGACATACTTGATTCGCTCACGCTGCCGTTTACTCGTGGTGTTTGCCAGGTTTTGCTGCAGGGAGAGGCGTTCAGCGGTAAGACGGCGTTGATGGCGCACGCGGCGGTCACCTCCGGCTTCCCCTTCATCAGAAAGATTGCGGCCGACGAGCTTATCGGCATGGGAGAGGCAAGTGTTGCTGATAAGTCTGATAGTTTGGTGATGTCCTGTGATGTGATGTAATGTGATGGACTTTACCGCATCCTTTGGTCTATGGCCTACAGTGAGTGGCGAAAATTACCAGCCAACGGAACACGTTCCTCAGCTATCTGTTAGATCTTCTTGTGAAGGGGCCGTCTACGCCTGTGCCGCCCCTCATCCGCCGCTCTAATGTGTGTGGCACCCCCTCCCCCCCCCCCCCCCCCCCCCCCCCCCCCCCCCCCCCCCCCCCCCCCCCCNGTGACTCCGTAGTTCCTACAGCGAAAGGCGTGGCACGGGTAACTTCCTGCGGTTCCATCAAAAGTTCTGGTGCTTATCTGCAGGAATAGCTCCTGGTCGAATCTCGACTTGTTTGAGCAGCGGCGACAATAGCAGCAGCAGCAGCAGCAGCAGCTGCCGCCAGAATAGGGCTGGAAAGCACGGGAACCGGTTCTTGCTCGCTCGAAAAAGTAAACCAGTTACCGAGATTGTGCACACGGACAGGAAATCTGTCCCCGACGTGGGCATAGTTGGTCGAGATGCTCTGTCCTCTTGGCCCCCCACCCCAGTCGTGCTATTGGTGGACATCGTCGTGGCATAGTGTTTTTTTAGTGCTTCACCACTTCTCGGACTTGTGTGTCCTTTGAAGTGAAGGAAGCCGAGCGTCGCGTGTCGGCACAGCAGCTGGAATGAATGGAACGAAACGAGAGCTGTCGTTGTCGTGCTTCCCTCCACCGCAGGTGTCGAAGGCCGGGTACATCTCCAGGGTGTTCCTCGACAGTTACAAGTCTCCTCTGTCGATCATTCTCATCGACGACTTGGAGAGAGTGATCGACTTCGTTCGCACGGGCCCACGGTTCTCCAACACGGTCCTGCAGACCCTGCTGGTTTTGCTGAAGAAGGTGAGTGGGGGAGCGGAGGCGGCGCCGAGGGGGGGGGGGGGGTG